TTTGGAAGCCTCTTCATGTCTCATATCACAGACTTCTTCCCGGGCGAGCAGTATTTTTAGGTTTTATGTTTACTGGGTTCATTTTACCTGTCAGGAGTTTTCGGTTTGCCATTTCAACACTGAATCAAACAGGATGATGTCACAGTTGTCTGAATGAGTCACTTCTGACTGTGTTTTTCAACCTAAAATGGAAATAGCAGGTTGGAAACATTAAAATTAAAATAAACCCACAAATAAGAAAAAGGAAAAGGGCATATAAATAGAGGTTGGAGATTAATGTAAAAGGACCCAAATACAAGACTCAGGACACAAAGTGCATGAACCAAGCTTTTATTACAGGCTGATCAAAAATTACAGAATGAACAATAATCCAATTTATGGGAAATGGCAAACACACATCAGGGAAATACAGCACTGAAGAATAAGGGACGAAGAGACAAAAGACAAAGAGACACTATGACAATATATGCACAAGCAGGTAAGGAGAGAGGGGGAAACTGAATTTAATTCAATTCTGTTTTATTTACATGTGCCAAATCAACACAACACTTGATTCAAGGTGCTTTATATTGTAAAGTAAAGACAATAATACAGAGAAAACGCCAACAATCAAAAGACCCCCTATGAGCAAGTACTATGTTGATAATGGGAAGGAAAATCTCCCCTTTAACAGGAAGAAGCCTCTGGCAGAACCAGGCTCAAGGGGCTGGAGCCATCTGCTGATCCCGCCTAAACTTAAAAGTAGAGAGGGAGTCTTTCTCCCAAATCCAAGCTGGGAGCTGGTTCTACAGAAGGGGATTGAAGGCTCTGGTTCCCATTCTACTTAAATACCCTGAGAACTACGGGTGCAACGATATTCGTATCGATATTGAACCGTTCGATACAGTGCTTTCGGTTCGGTACGCATATGTATCGAACAATACAAAATTTTTAATTTATTTTATCAACTTTTCTTCTGTTGATGCTGTCTGTGAGCGCTCAGTGGATCTGCGTTCGACTACTCCGCCTAGGCTGCACTGTCGAGCGCAGATCCACTGAGCGCAGCGCAAGCTAGCAAGACAGAAGTTAAGCTCGTTGCAACATGGCAAATTGAACCTCCCCCACCCTCATTCAGATCTGGCGTTTGGAACTATTTTGGTCTTCATGTGACGTATGACCCTGAAGGTAAGCGCGTCATGGACTAAAGTAAAACAGTATGTCGGATGTGCCAGCAATGCTCAATTACATGGGTGGGAACTAGTGCGTTAGCGCAGATAGCTCGTTAATGATTCTGTGTTGACGCCGTCCAGCCCCACACACGGGGTTGGACGGCGTCAACACAGAATCTGTAAAAAATGTTTTAGTACAACTTTGGTAAGCTACGAAGCCGCACCGCTTGATGGATTGTTGGAGCATTACGGCTGCCGTAGTCAGGAGCCTCGCGGACGCGGAGTAATCTGGGTCCAAAATTCCGTCTTCTTCGGGTCCAAAATTCCGTCTTCTTCGGGTCCAAAATTCCGTCTTCTTCGGGTCCAAAATTCCGTCTTCTTCGGGTCCAAAACACTGAGAGTTAAAAACTGTCTAAATTCTTTCATCTTTAACAAAATTATCATCATTGCTGCTTTACCAGGTGTAACAATTAAGTTTAACATCCAGTCATCCATGAAAACAGAATTTATTAAATTTAACAGATTAATCTCCAAAAGTTGATTCTGTTCATCTGGACGCAGCGTTTTCAGTGGGAGAAACGTTTTGTCACCGATCTTCAACTTCTTCAGTCTCAGCTGACTGCAGGTTTCAATCTTATAAACAGTACATTTGCATAATGACTAAAACCAGCCCACTGAAGGAACAATGGGCTGGGAGGTCACCTTCATTCATATGCAAATTCTCATGACCATTGATCAACAACCTCTGATCAAGGCCATGAGTACCATTCACAGAGAGTTGGGGAATGGCTGCAATCACAGCATTGTAAGATGGTGACAAATGCACCCTTAGGCCCCCTCCTCGATTCAGAGATGGTCTTTCCCTTTTCATGTAAATGGCCTCCTTGACTCCGCCCTCAAACCAGCGTTCCTCCCTGTCCAGGATGTGAACATCCTCATCATTGAAAGAGTGTCCACTGGTCTGTAGGTGTAAATAGACTGCAGAGTCCTGGCCTGACGAGCTCTTCTGTGTTGTGCCATCGGCAGATGATGATGTTCCTTTTCTGAAATGCTATGTTGCTTGTTACTTTTATGCCAGATGTAGTGGGAGACACACTTTCCAAGAAGTTCCACTTTTGACTCATCAGTCCACAGAGTATTTTCCAGAAAACCTTGGGGATCATCAAGATGTTTTTTTTGGCAAAACTGAGACGAGCCTTTATATTTGTTTTGATCAGCTGTGGTTTTGGAACTCTGCAGGCCATTTTTTCCCTGTCTGTTTTTTATGGTGGAATTATGAATATTGAGCTTAACTAGTCAAGTAGGGTCTGCAGTTCTGTGGATGTTCTGGGGTCTTTTGTGACCATTTGGATGAGTTATTGCTGAGGATAATTTTGGTTGGCTGGCAACTCCTAGGAAGGTTCACCATTTGTGGTGAATGGCTCTCACTATGCTCTCACTGATCTTTGGGTCTACTCCACTTTGTCGGGCAGGTCCTGGTTCCTAATTGAGAACAGCTTTGGATATTTTTCCTCATTTAGAAACTGTATTTTGTGTTTACTTGTGTTATCTTTGTCTAATGTTTAAATTTGTTGATGATCTGAAACATTTAAGTGTGACAAACATACACAAAAAAATAGGAAATCAGGAAGGGGGCAAACCCTTTCTCACACCACTATAGCTCATTTTGACGTTTTGATCTGCCTTTATGCAAAGTTATGTCAAACTGAAGCAGCTGTGGGGCTAGGTGAGTGTTGAGCTCAGGACGAGGATATGCTGGAAATCCTAGATGGGAAGTACTCAGGGAGCACAGACCGGATTATATCTGTGAACATCAAATTTGCTTATGTAACACATTGTAGTTCAGACAAAGACACTAGCAGCTGTTATGCAATGCACTGAATCCACTGGTGACCTGGCTAAGAGGCACACTACACTACACACATGTACACATGGATATCTAAGCTACACTTTGTGTGTGTGTATAGGAAAGGGAGAGGGAGGAGATGACAGAATGGCTGTAATTGTCATAAATAGTATCTGACCGTGGTTTAACATAAAATCAAACGCAGAATAGAAGATAAGGCTTAAAGCTTTAGAACAGTTGGTATTCAGAAGACAGCCTGAGATCTGGTTTAGTAGCCATGAAATCCATGAACGTCAAGGACCAGGATTTTAGGCTTGTAAAGATGTATTTGTGCATATGAATATGCTCCTGTATGTGGTTGACAACAGCTGCATAAGTGAGGAAATGAAGCTGAGTGTTTAAGGAGCTTGGAAAGAAAAGTGTCTGTATTTCTTTAAGTTGCTTGAAAATGTTTCACCTCTCATCCGAGAAGCTTCTTCAGTTCTAGGGTCAAATGGTGGAGAAGCTTCTCGGATGAG